TGTTAAATTTGTTTGAAATTAATTTTCGTAATGCTTCTTGAATTTATCTCTTCAGTAAGTTAAGATGTCAATAACTTAAGTTTTTCCTCATTGTGATAGCGATCGCGTGCTATTGCGATCGGCAGGTTTAAAAGGCTATAATATTATTGAAGAAAGTGCTTACTGTACGTTGGTAGAACGTGTTTTTTCGGAAATTGTTAAATCGCTAATTTAGTTGTCTGTTTGCTATATTATGTAAATTTTGTTTGCTTTATTTCATTGTCAGTTGTCGGCAACTTATTTGCTTTGCTTTGAACCTCTTTATAGCATGAATTGTGTTAAGAAAGGCGATGGCGTCTATAACTTAGCTTTTATGGTGCTTTTAGTCGCTGATATTCGGTCAGTTTTGTCCGCTTTAGGCAGTTTCTGATCAAATCGTCGTTCGACCGACATCTCGTCCATCAGTCAGTCTTCACTTGTGCTCACTTTAAAGGCGCATATGTTCGACGTGATGAGAAGCTGCTCGATTTTGATTATCTCGAAAATCGTCGGTGTAGAGGTGCAATGATTGGCAATAGTAGTCCCAGTGTCATAGAGTCACCGCCGGCGACGGTGAAGTTGTCATCTTCGTCTTCGCTGGCGAAAGGTAACGCCAAAGGCTCAACGACCGCATCCACCGCAAATCCGTGGTTCGGTGTCAAGGAATACGCAGCTTCTGCAACCGCACAACGCCGTAAGTCTAACCGTTCGATAAAATGACAGACTTTCGCCGTAAAAACAGATTTTGGTTTAGCTTTATAAAAACCCCAAATCACGATAGTGATTGCAAATTCAAATAATTTGAATTCTTTTCAAAATAGCAGGTGTACTTCAAAACAAGTTTCAGGAAGATTTACGCATTTTTTGGAATAAAGTCTAAAAATATTGGTTTATTTAAATACATCTTTTTATTTAAATAGGTTTATAGGATCTAGGAAGTGCGCAAACACTGTTAAATCACTTGCAAGATCCGCAACGATCATGCTTTTCAAGGTGTTAAACCAAAAGTGGATAGGGTGAAATCTTGAGCAGTTGCACTCCGATGATGATACTAAATATCATTCTAACGTTGCGTATAAACGACTCTAATAAGCTTATTGCGTTATTAAATAGTTTTAAAAATGACAAGTCTCTAGGCTTGGGTTTACAAATTACCTTGTAATTTTGGGAAATATTACATTAGAGAAACAAGGAACACTGTCACTCAGAAAACAAAGATCTACTTATCGAGTTCGAGAAGATGGATGATGACGGACGAGCGTGAGCAACAGGTGGTAACGAAGCATCCAGGAAGAAAACAAGGCCTCGCCTTCGGCAACTTTAATGAACGATGCGAAAAGACCTGATTGTGCAGCAAGCGGCAGTGCAAGAATTCGCCACTCGGTGGTCATAGTGTACCGGCGTCATCAAACAGAGACAGCAGCTGCACAGGCGAGTCAAGAAGACATTAATTATCCAGTCCTGTGACAATGTCAGCATTGACGAGGGATGCAAATTGTGCGCATATTGGATGAGCCTTACTACCGCTGTCGTCCAGAAACCATTTGGCTAGTGGAATGGGCCAGAGGATTGCTTTCTGGCTCCAAACCTACCAACTGCTGTGGACAACAAGAAAAACGTCCTACAGTGAAAAAGACTCGTGACAGATGAGCCGAAACGTCCTTCATCCGATTGATCACATTATTTTTTGCATGATCTGTAGAGTTTTTCACTCTTGAAACCTTGCACTGATATCCAAATCGTTCGTCGAAAAGGTCACGGCCTCGGAACCAAAACAGAGTCCGTGCAAAGGATGAGAAACGAACTATTCCATATCCGACCGTTCCCACAGGTGGCTTGTCACCGTTCGATACACGGTCGTTGTGGATCTTGCTTCCGATTTAACAGTGGTTGCGCACTTTCTGAATTCCAGCTGAATTATATAAGTAATGAATGAAAAGAAATATTTTGATAAACTAATATTCGTAAACTTTTATCCAAAAAATCAGTGCCCACATCCCGTTCAAACAGTTTTCTCAATAACGCCTACTACTTTCTACGTGCACTTTGAAAAATAACTTTTTAATAACATTTAAAATAACTCGAATTCTTCTGTAGCACTTGAGATTCTCTGCCATGACAATGCGAATTGTGTCGTGCATTGCTTTCTTTCGTACCATTGAATTTTAAAGCCACAGGATATCCTCAGGATTTTCTTATTTACACTTAACTTTATCTTCCAAGACTGCTTCTTTATTTGGGTAGCGGAGAAAGATCCGTCAGATACATATATATAGATAGCAGGTGCTGCGTCAGTAAATGGCTTTAAGACGAAACCTTCCAGCATTGGCACTGGTCTCCGCCAAGGCTGCGTTCTGTCCCATTTTATGTTTGTGCCGCATATGGATAAAGTTGTCAGGACCAGCGAGGGCGATGAGTGTATCGGTGAAGGGGATGTAGAGACGAGAAGGTTGCTGCTTGCAGATGACCTCATTCTGTTGGCTTCTTCTGAAACTGATCTACAACACTTAATGTTCGCAGCCGAGTGCGACCTGACCGGCATCCGTATGAACGCATCTAAAACGAAAGGCCTAGTGGTTTTTCGTTCTCCTGCCCGCTGTTCTCTTCAGATTAACAGATGCAGTGGAGCAGGTGGAGAAATTCACGTACCTCGGAACTGTATTTAGCACTGATGGAAAATTGGAGGAAGAGATCGACCGGCGAATTGGTGTAGCCAGTGGCGTTCTGCGTGAACTAGCC